AACGGCAGCAGCGTAACGAGACGCTGAGCGTCTATTTCACATTTTTACCGGTCGCCGAGAGTTGAAGAATGTTCAGTTGTGGGTAAATCGCAGCGCTCATCACTGTCATTTTTTACCCAGCTGTCCAATCACAGTGGAGGAGGGGCGGGACAAATACCACATCGACCAACCGCCACATTCTGCTTGTATAACGTCAACAGATGACAACAACAAGCATATTAACGGAACAAAATAATTTAAAACAAGAGCCAGAGCAAATAGTTTACATTGTGTCAACATTTTTATATAGAAACAGCACAGAAACAAACTATCTGTGAAATGAGAAACACTTCAGTGGATATTCCGTATCATAGCAAGCAAAGCGTCTCAACTGAAAAAAAACGCTCAAGCGCCCACAGCTAAGCATTTTCACCGGAGTGTCTTCAGCTGGCTAAATACGCTTTGGTGACACACGGCCTGATCATTTAAAAACACACTTAAATGCAATTTTTAGCAAATCTCAAAATGAACATCCATTGTTCATACTGTAAATTATAACGTTGTGTAATGCCAAAATTAGTTTGTTGAATTTAAAACAACTGACCTATTTTTTAGTAAAATTTTAGTTTCTACTGTTTTATTTGTTTATTTTTTTACATTTATTTAGACAAAATAGAACAGAAAATAATAGATATTTATATCGGCTTATCCGTATCAGGCAGAATTTTAATATCACTTCATCCCAAGTTAGCATATTTAAATTATCCAAAAATGTTGGCAAATGTTAGCATTCTCAGAGTTCTGCAGACACAGAGTCCATGTAGATGTGTGTGAGGGTGAATATTGTTGCAGTTTTAGGTGTTAGAGAGCCATCATTTCATATTGTGAATGCTGAAGTCCTAATCTGCCCTCTTTACCTCCTTTTCTTTTTCTAGCTCTCAATCCTATTATTCTTTCTGGGAAAACTCCTGAGATGTATAGAGTTCACAAAGCATCAAGATCTTTGACATGCTTGTCAAATAGTAGCATTGTGGAGGTGGATAAAGGATAGCAGGCACAGATTTCTCTGTTGAGGCACTTCATAGCCCTCCATGCGAAGCCTACGGTTTGTTCACCTCTCAGCAAACCTCTCCTGTGTGACCTTTCAGAGGAGGAGAGTCACAACATCCCCCAGCAATGCTGCACAGTCAGGCAGGTTCAGACCTCTCCACTTCTCATCAATCAATAAACACTTTATAAACACTGGCAGGCAGCTTTTTCTCTTCAGCCAGGTCATGACTCAACAAAAGAGATTCACAGGTCATACCACATGCTGAAAACTATTGCACGGCAGTATTCAGAGCCTTGGGAAACAAAAGCCATTTAAAGACTAGTTTTTGCTAAAAATATACAATTATTGATCAAATTAGGAGGATTTACTATGAGTCAAAATCTGCTAAGGGGTAATAATGGGATGACCGTTTTATTTTTCACTATTATTTACAACAGGATCAGAATTTTCATTGGTTTAAAAAAAGATTTTGTTATAAGAGACAATAAAAACAACTTTGTGCCTGTGCAGCTTCAAAATGCTGTCTGTCAGAGAAGATAGCGTGCATAATAATACACAACGCACGTGAATATAAATTTGTTCTTCCCTCGCTGAAATTGAATTGTAACGATCAAGGAACTGAGTGAAATACATACTTCACACTGCATGCTAAAGAGAATAAACGCAGATCCAACTGAAAAACTTCACCTGGTTAGTGAACATCGTTCAACATGGTGTTTTTTTGACGAACATTTTTTTGTGCACAAACTACGCATTCTGTTTCTGATATTCCTGATTTGAATATTTTCAATAATTTTCTTTTCTTTGCTTTTCTATTTTTTAAAATAATTTTGGCAATAGATGAACTATTAAATAAGTGATTAAAGAAGGAAGTAGTCCAATTTGACTCTCATATGCTGATGTACAGTATATTATAAACTTGACACGTGGTTTTTATAAAATGTAGTTTGATCACTATCTTTTTAAAAGATTAAGGCAGTTATCAATGTTTGGTAAAATTTGTTTAACTTGTCCAAAAAAAAAAGATAATACATTTTACATGATTTATTAAATTGAATTACCTCTCAGCAGATTTTGACTCAAATGTTGTCCTCTGCTCAATGAAATGTAGTGAAGTTTCTCACAGAAGTCCTTGTTGAGCGAGTAGGCGTTCCTGGAGTGTACTAAGCACATAGAAGTTGGCCATGTTCACCGAGGACAAGTTTTGTGATATGTGCCGTGAAATTTGCTCTGTGAAATATTTAAACTTGACAATGACTCACTAACTTGCTCCCTGCGTAAATGCAATATTCACAGCTGCTGAATTTATTATCTTAACCTACAGTATCAGTAACACCGAAATCAGGGACGGATTTTTCCCATTTCAACGTGTAGTTTGTACTGGTTTCAAGAGACCTGACCTTTATATTAACATGTTTCAAATGTCTGGGTTAATTCTGGATTTTACTGTTAACAGACAGCAGATTTTTTTTCTGAAACTATTGATTGCCGTTTACAATATGTTAAATTTGTTAACATTGGTTAATGCATACAATTTCATGAAATAACAACGATAATAGCATATTCATACATTAACATTAACCTATAGAAATGCTGTAAAAAAATTGTTTATTGTTTCTTCATATATACGTACTGTATATACTAACTATACTATACTAATATATAAGTATATATTAACTAATGATAATATGTTTAACCTTGTAAAGTTTTGGCAAAATAAAATTTGTATTCTTAATATTTTGACCTTTCATTGTAACCAAAAGTCAAACACTGTCCGTTTTGAATGGTATTTCTGTCTGGTCAGCATTGGGTGTGATGTTCTCTGGAGCTCAAACTTGCATCATTGTTCTTGCGCAAGTCTCTATCTAGGACAAGAATAAGCCAGGCGACAGTTTCCTGCAGGGTTGCAAAAGTGTCTGTGTTCTGTCAGGTGACATTGTGAAATTATTAACTATGTTTACGGTGTGTTAAACAGCATACAGCCTCATCTAAACACACCATCACTGCCTGTCTGGACTCTGCAGATGTGCTTTTAAGTACGTCACGCATTAGAGACCTTTTTGTTAATAATAGTCTGGATGAGCTTTGATTTTTATAGGCGGACCCTACATGAGTAAAATTGGAACATCTCTTTGACTGATCATCTTTGACTGTATGGTGAATATTTGGCTTGAACTTATGATGAATTCTGGGTTGAGCAGCTTGCGAACAGCTATCTAGAGCTTTCACTGATTAGCCAGGAATCTGAGTCAAATTTTGGAATGGATGGAGTGTGAAAGAGAAGAGGGATTTGTACTACATGGTCTTTTGGACTGCAGGGTAGTAGCTTAGAGTGCCTAATATTCTTGAATGATTTCTCAGTCTTATAGCGTTAGTAAACTCTCATTTTAATCACTTCTAATTTGCAAATTAACATAGGACATGGTTCTCAGAACATGTCAGAATTAAAGTTTTGTGGCTTTTCGTCCATATCTTTAGCACAATTTGGGGTTCCGATTGTCACACTTGTTACAATGGAACCCATATGTTCCAGCATGATTCTCCTACTCTGCAACAGACATATAGTCATTCCCGTGTGCGTGAGTGCGTGCGTGCGTGCGTGCGTGTGTGTGTGTGTGTGTGTGTGTGTGTGTGTGTGTGTGTGTGTGTGTGTGTGTGTGTGTGTGTCCGTGCATATGGGACACTTGCTGCCATGACCCTAGTGTGAGAGAGAGAAAGTTAATGAGTGAGTAAAGGGATAACAATGTTCCACAAGCATTTACTAAATCCTTTGCTACTAGTAGGCTTAAGAACTAGAGGGGACCTCAATGTCTTTTCCCCTCTAGTTCTATGCTCATTTTATATGCTTATTTCTCATACTACCACCTAAATGCAGTTTTACTTTCCAATTAGAGTTTGCTATTGATATGGTTTTTAAGATGCTATTTAGATATTTATATGACTGCCCTGCTCTTCCTTTCCTATAAGAAAGTAAATTATCTTGTATCTTTAATATCACAGTTGTTTTCCTAGACAACAATGAGAGATCACTTCTAATGAATTGAGTCTTTTCCCCTACATCTTATGGTTCTCATATTGTTCGCAATGAGAAAAATACCCCAGTATTCTCAGAATGTGTCTCCTTTGGAGTTTCAGAGGAGATCTTAGATATCGTGACATTTTGGTCGTATTCTCATCTTCATGTCGTTCCAAACCCATAAGATTTTTGTTCATCCTCAAAACACAAATGAAGATAGTTTTAATAAAACCTGAGACATTTCTATTCCTCTATTAAAAGTTCATGAAACCTAAACTTTTATGTTCAAAAAGTTCATTAAGGAAACGAATATGAAATCCACATGAATTGAGTGGATTGATCCAAGTCCTCTGAGGAGAAACAATTGCTTTATATGATGAACAGATTTCACCACTTTTTTTTTACATATAAACATTGATCAACACACATACATAGAGCACATCAAATATAGTAAACAGAAGCTCAAACCTGCTTGACGTGCAAGAAGCAATGTGGTCTGTTCCTGTGCGTCAAGTATGCTTGAGGGTTTTATGTTTGTTGGTTTTGTTTTGTTTTGACCTTATTTGTTGTGCTCTATGTATATTCAGTGATCAATGTTTATATGTGAACATAACAGGCTTGGAATGACATAAGGTAATTGAGTATTGGAATATGGAATTACATAAGTAAATGATGACAGAATTAAAATGTTTGGGTGAACTAACCCTTTAATGATGTCACAAACTGTGCTGCAATCGAAAGATTTCATTATGAATATGAACTCAGTTATTTTGCATCAAATTCTTAGAAGACCAAATTATCTGAGTTATGCCATCCACATTAACTAATAATAAATCACTATAAAATATCCCTTTAGTTCTCCTAATGAATTTTAGGAAAAAACATCTGAGAAAACGTTGATACTTAAATGAAACAACTAAGAATCTATCGGTCTGTTCCTCTCCGGCTAAACAGATCTGAGTGATCAGCTTCTGGAGGTGGTGGGTTTGGAGGGAGCCATCGAGATGGGTCAGATATACACGGGTCTCAAGAGTGCTGGGCGGCGCCTTGCACAGTGTTCCAGTGTCACCATCAGGTCAGTAGTTCATGCCCGTCCACATACACATTGACTAAGAGTTCAGTATTTGTCCAACTCATTGACAAACACTCTGACTTCTCGTGTCCATGACTCTGAAACGTCTCTCTATTCCCCCTCCCCCTCAGCAGGACGTCCTATCTTGGCCAGTGCGGCTAGTAAATCAGACCTTTGACCCGCTGTCACTCGCTTTGCCAACAGCTCTAGCATTCTGGACAGCTCGTACTGATGAATAATGATGTTTGTAGCATGTCTAAACACACACACTGCTCAGTCCTGACGTATGCTAATGAACCAGTGGAGACTCATCACGTCTGAGGTGCTAGTTCACAAGTTTGTGTTGCCCGGCTTGCTACGCTCCATTAAACACTCATAATGACCTTAACAGTTAGTGCTGAATTGAAGCGAGGTGGTTATTCACAATTTTCACTGCTGTTTCCTCACCTGTACAGTCTGCCTACGACCTAATACTTTCCGTAATCTGCATTAACAGGGCATTCATCATTGTCATTCTCCCATGCTGTGTTGCTTTAACTCGTAGTGGCCCTGCTGAAAAGACTAAACTAACTTTTTGTAACTGTGTGTATATGGAGATGGAGGTGCTGAACTGTGTGAGTGTGTTAGTTTAGAGAGTAAGGGGCCTGGCTGGGAATGGGGCTGTGGGAACAAAGAGCACAGTGTTTAGAGCCATCCAGGAAAAGTGTTGTATAGGAGCCTCGTGCCCGCGGTCTGCCTGGTCAATGACCTGACCCGTAACAGCTCTGTCTTTCTTTCCCTGTTCTTGTCTCTATGTCCGCAGGACGTCCCGGCTGCTGCCCATGCAGATCGATGGAGAACCGTGGATGCAGCCTCCATGCACGGTCAGCTCATTTGATTTTGCTTTCATTTACAGTTTTATTTGAATGTCTGAAACACACTCTTTCATGACCCATACCAGACAATTTGTCTGACACATTATGACACTACATTATGAATTTCTGTGGAAATCCAATTATTCTTAATCCAGAATTTCCATTATGAAATCCAGTCATTTCGATAGGAATCCAAAAAATCGAGGCAAAAGATTTTAAGAGTTTAAAGCAGCACTAAGTAGGAATTCCGTTTTTGTCAAACAGTGACCCCTAGAGTCGCTGTGGAGTACTTGTACTGTCGTGAATAGCACTCATGCAGAGATGGCTCGCACTCACGGCCGGATCCCCTCCCCCTGTACACCGGTACCTGTTCAGTAGGATGGACGCTGTAACTAGTGGAAATAAGGTATGGCCCCTTTAAGAGCTGCGCGCGCCCTGCGCCTCGAACACCACATGTATACGGCGCCGGGTTATTTCTGTTTTTTGCCGTAAAGCAATTCGTTACCTCGCGAGACCTGATATCACACGATACTCCCTAACACTCACTGTAGAGATCCACTTTTGCTACACGACAGTCGCGTGGTGTCGCGACGCCTCCCCACATTTGTACTTTGATGGGCGTTCCTCAGGTTTACTGCTATGGGCGTGGTTTTGAGCCAGCGGCCAGTCTAGAACAGAGGACCTGCGAGAGACTTCCCCCCGTCTCCATATGCTTTACTTCTATTGGATAGTCGCGTCGCGTTCAACGGAATTTGCATAAAGATGGGCATCGGCCAATCGGTTGCTCTCAGCAGTGTGGGCGGCGTCAGATGTTCGATAACAGTATATCGCTGCTCACGTATTTCGAACTTTGTTTTACCTCTAAACGAAGAACGAAAAAGAACTTTGCCGTGAGTATATCGGGGCCTTAAGAGTTTACTACTTGGTTTTTTTTTTCACGCACCTTGTTGGTTCTTTGAAGTTGCACCAGAATAACTCCACAATAAACACATAAAAAAAGTACATATTCTGAAAGAGACCACAGTATCTGTCTGCTCTTAAAGTTCACAAGAGCCTCTGATGCAATGTGAAGTCAGATACACCCAAAGCTCAATGATATGTGTCAATTCAGAGTAGAACCTTTTCTCCATCTCAGAAAATTGCCTCCTCCGATCTGTTGCAGCTTTGTACATTCAGCCGTCCCAGCGAGCAGACTGTTAATTAAAACACTGTCATGTCACACCCTGCCATTGACTGATTATGTCATTAAAAGAGGGGAATAAACATGTAGCTTTCCATCTGCACATAGCGCCAACCCAATGTCCTCCGCTATATATACATCTCTGTGAGCGCAAGCGCTATAAAAAGTGTGCCGCTGTGCTTTTAGTCCTCTCTAATTTGCCCAACTGTGCAGAGGGGAATATGGGATGTTATTTCAGTTTCAAGGTCAGCTCTCACGTTCTCAAATTTGTGCCTGTTAATTTGGACATGTGTGATTTCTGTCAGCTCATTTGCTGAATGTGAATGAGACAACTGCTTAAACCTGTGAGTGATTAACAACCAGAAGGATTTAGCCAACTGTTCAGATTTGGTTGTTTTCGGAGAGTAATCTTTCCTTCTTTCCTGCAGATACGGATCACGCATAAGAACCAGGTGCCTATGCTGCTGGGACCGCCACAGAAAACTCCCTTCTTCTTCTTCAAGAAGCGCAACAGAAGTCGGGACTAAATGTGGGACTCCAAAAATCAGCCACTCTTCTACAATCATACAAACACACTCAAGCATCTCCACCTTCCTCAGCCTCTTCTTTGTCGTTGGCTAGTGGGACCCAAAGAGAAGAGACTTTTCAAACAGCTTTGTGGAACAAATCAATACAAATACAACACTGCAATGGGCCTCTAATAGACTCCATCTCTCAACACAGCCTGGCTGAACCAGTTAAATGGACCTTCTCTGAGTGTCATGACCACTTCCTGTGTCTTATCATCCAGAACGTCTTATCACAGGCTCGTGACCTGTAAGCTATGACTCAATTCCAACCAAATTCTCCCTACCAGTAGGCCACTGCCTTGGGATCACACTGTGTGCCCTCTCCCTCCTCTTGAGACGGCTCGTCAGAAGATACTGCCAATTTCCAAGAGAAAAAGAGAGAGGGGCAGGACCAAGAGCAAGAGACTCACTCAGTAAATGGACAAGAAGTGTGTTCAAGTGAAAAGAGAAGGAGAGCGAGACACTCTGGCACAATAATGTTCTTCACATGACAGTTGGTGGTACACATATGGACGTCACTGGGCCCTGGCTTAGCCTAACAGGACCAGGGAACAAACTTTCCTCCTAAAGGAGCTTACTGAATTATACATCAGTGCATGCAAAGCACTCATTCCAGTGCCTCTCTAAGGCTCTACAACATGCCACCACTAAAGAGATGAAACGGCAAACTCATCCATTATGAAAATGTTTATGGGGGTCTTCTGATAGGGATAGGTTAGACTGGCCTGAAAGAGATGTAACATTTCAGCTTCCGTAGTTTGCCCCGGGCTTTTTTGGTGTTCGTCCTCAGGCCGCAAAACTGACCAGTGCAAGTTGTTACAGTTAGCTGGATGTTTATTTAATCATATACTCCCCTCTAAAACAACAGTGCTAGTGCTCAGTGTTGAGAATGGACCTATAGTCTTTTAAAAAGGAAAACCCTTAGAAAAGAGAATGTGTTCTAAAACAGTTTTACCAATTAGCCTATCATTTATTAGCAAAGTGGCAATTTGTGCAATAATTTTATTATATTTTTAAGCCAAATCAAAAATATTGTGCCATTAAGTTTAGGGGAAGATTCCATTTGATTTTCATTGAATACCCTGCTGATAAAAAACAGCCTATGCTGGTTTGCCTGTCTGTTGTCTGGTTTTAGAGGGGTTTGGGGCATTTTAGTCCGGCTGGGAGACTTGCAGGTTACCCAGCTAGACCAAATGAAGACCAACTTAACAGCCTATTCACACCAACACAAACATTTGGCATGAAAATGTTTGCATTTGTTTTGTTTGTTTCGACCAGAAAAATGGCAGACCAGGAGAATGAAAATGCAGCTTCACTCTCTAAAAGTAGGTGGCGCTTAGAGAAAAGAAGAAAGTCTGTAGTTTTATGTAACAGTAGTGGCTCTGCATATGTGACCTATAGCACAAATCTTATTGTTTGGTTTCTTCGTAGTGCTATGGATTAGAACACCACTCTGTATCTGTTGCATTAATGACATGCACTTGTTTATATCGGTCTGAACAGCTGCAATAACAGTCATTCATTCAATTGAAATGTTTATAGCACTGAATTTTCTCACCAAACATTCGTCTTGGCGTGAGCTAAGACCAGCAAACCAATTTAGGCTCTTTTATGCCGGTTTTGTCAGCAAGGTATGATTTGAATTAAATTATTTACAAATGGAACAATAAGGAAATAATGGTAATGCTTTATGACTTTAAGGGTCAATTCATTAACATTAGTTAATGCATTAGATATCAAGAACTAACAATGACGATGCATTTACAGCATTTATTAATCTAGTTTAACCCTAATTTATACTGTTCTTCGTTGTTAATTCATGTATATTCATAATAGATTAAATAATATTGATTTACACAGCCTAAATGTTCAAAAATCTATGAATATATGTAGAAATTAGCATTGACCAAGATTATTAAATGCTGTAAAAGTATTATTAATTGTTTGTTTACACATTAACTAATGTTAAGAAGTTGAATCATATGAGGTGTTACAAAAATAAGAATTTAAAGAGAATGTTCTTTGTATTTCTGAGAAAGTCTCCGCTGTAGCTTACTGCATCTACCTTTAGAGACGGGCTGAAATCGATTGAGCGCTGGTATGAACACTGAATCCTCTGGTCCTCGTCTGTCACAACAAGCTACTGCAGTGGGGTTTGATTTACTGCTGCATGGACAGAGCCTAAATTTAACTTCCTATTTCAGGGAGTGAAACACTATTCCTAATTGCAGCATGAAAACATCAGCTCACAATTTCAGGTCGACAGTTAAACGGGTGTGATAGCGATCCAGATGAATGAAAAGAATGTAAGTTACTTACCATTACAGTCAACAACAGTAACTTCAAGATCCAAAAAGTTAGCTTTTTCATCTTTTAGCCCTTCTGAGAAGGCCTGTGAAGAGTATTTAACCTAAAGATGCCCACTATGTATCAGTATTTGTATAATCCAAGAGCCTTGTTTGCATATATATGAATGTGTTTAAAGGTATAACTTAATATAGTATCAGAGATTAGCAGGGATGCCTAATGGGTCACATGATTGACTGTAGCCATCAGGCAGATGTGCCTGTTATAGATCAACATACAGTGATCATCAGATGCTTTCGCAGTGTGCTGTAGGGTCTAAAGGTCTGTGTTGGAACTGTATATATGTTTCACCAATACAGAACTGGGGTCAGATTGAATTAAAGTTCAGGTGTGGGCTTTGGAAACTGAGCTCTTACCAGGGTTAGCAGGTTAATGTTCCCTTTAAAGAACACTGAACCGCAGAAGCTACGCCAGTGTCCTAAAAAAAAACGAATCTCTCCATATGACCACAGAACTGACGTCCACCTCCAGTCGATGGCTTTATCATAGCAGTGAATGTTGGATTAGACTAAAAGAGCCCCATTGTTTCTGTGGTCATTGGACAGATGGTTTATCCAGTGTGACAGCCTGGTGTTTAAAGAACGGCGGTTTGGTTACGAGTGCATGTTTACAACTACTTTTCATTTTACAGTTTAGAATGATTTTAAACAGTCATGTATATATAGATATTGTTTATATTTTCTCTAAAGTTTAGCCACCGCATGCCTGCTGAAACAAAGAAGACAAAGACGTCTGCTTGAAGAGAGACCACGCTGATTGTTGCTACCTTATTAGTTTCGCATTATTATATTTTGGACCCTATCCAAGCCCCTTGTATCTATCCACTGTACTTTCCCTTGATCCGTTAGTAGCATGTTCATTGTACCTCTGTGGCGGTTCTTTGTTCTGTTTTGTATTTTGTAGACTGAGGTTTGGCGCCAATATATGCTGATCAATGGGCAACTGATGAATGTCACCTGGAAATGCCATTTCTAAATCGTACCAATGTCCCCTTCTGTCTCATTTCTGTGAATAACTGATAGCCTTAACTTACCGATACAAAATAGCGTTTTGCCTGGAGCAAAGAATTTTGCAATACAAGTCACTGAAAAATCAACCAAATGAAGAAAAAAAAGAGAGGTCAACATCTGTTTTGCTGTGTTGCAATAACTCATTTTTGTTAGTGTCATCACACTGGCCTATACCCGCTCTCAGAGAAGGGAGGTGATGGAGCGATGTCCTGCACATCACAAAGGAGCTTCATGACCTCTGGCACCACATCCGTCTTCATTTGTGGACTGACTGACTTTTATCTATTATTTTTAGCCGTCCTAAAACTGTGATTGCTCAATCTGCCCATCACTGTCTCTATTCTCAAAACAATAATCCATTTTTATCTGTCAAAACCGTGCTGCCTCTTGCAGGGTTGTGCTCTATTCAGAATTGAATTGAGAATGCCTTTTTAATTCTAATTAAATGCAGGATGCAGAATTGCATATCGAATGTGAATGTAAGAAAGCAGAATTATGAATTGAAAATGAATTGAAAATCAAAGAAGTTCATATAATTGTCATTTTTAAACAAAAAATCTTTATGTTAAAGTTTTGCAAAGATGTCTTGAAGTTTAAGGGGTTTGACAGAGAGAACTATTGATTGATTGATTGATTGATTGATTGATTGATTGATTTTCCAGGATGCTTTACCTGTGTTGAATTTCTTTGAATTACAATACATTCAATTACTCTTACTGTCATTCCAATTAAAATTCATGAGGGACATGGGCAATTCTTTTTAAATTTCACCCCATGATTTGAAAAGGAGCAGATTCTTCAGTTCTTAGTTTTGACCAACCCTGGACCCTTGAGATTTTTAAGGAAGGTGAACCACAATCCGAGACTTAAATATGATCTTCTAAGCATCATGTTGCCCTCTAACAGTGAGAACCAAACAGATGCTCTCTCTTTCTCTGCTCATCTTACCAGTCTCTTAGAGACAGTATGGCTTATCTCAGTGTAGCTCTATTCTTAGCTGGGACAGTTGAACAGGATTGAGCAACACTGATGCAGTAGAGCCCATATCAACTCTGAATGTGTTGTTCTACATGTGTGTTAACGCACTGTCTTATTCCTGCCTTAGGGTTAATGTGGTTTGTAGCAAGTCCATCTGTGTGGTAGGCAACAAAGTTCAAGAACAGGAGTCCTGCAGGGTGAGATGGGGTTAAAGGGTGAATCTTGCCCTTGACAGACCCACTTAGACTCTGTTACTCTGTTTCTTGTAAGCTGTTGGCATCCATGTTAATGGACAAAAGAGTTTTATTGAATAAACGGAGAGACTAAAGCTCTGTGTCTGGTGTCGGTCTTTGGGTGGCTCGATTGGGATGCTTTCTCACATTCGGCAAAGGCGCCGACACAATCCTCTACTTAACGTGATTGAATTTCAGTTCACACAATAAATCACCGAGTTCTGTACTCCTGCACTGATGATATGAGATTCTCGGGAGAAATACTGTGAGCCTTTAGTGCTGTACTTAAGATCCACTGACTTCAGTCCTCATGTTAGCATATTTTCACACTTGTTTCCATCTCTCAACAACACCTTCAGTCATGATTGCAGAAGAGTTTAAATCACACCATGTTATAATTGCAAAAAATTGACAGATTTTTTTATTCAATCTTTCCCAAGTAATGGGTGTGTTATTATCCCATTATATGCACAGCACTGCTGACCCTGCACACTGAAGTGAGAATCTGCAATGAGTACTGACTGGATTTTGTGGCTTCATAGACTCTCCTTTATGAGTACAACAGCTTGTCATTAGGGCAGTACCCTACTGATATGCATGCTTTAGGTGTTGATAAGGTAGAAAGATGTGTCTTTGGAAGGTATCGCCCCAGTGACAATGTTATTGTATTTTGATAACCAAACAATAAATCCTCCACTTGTCAGGTTTCATGAAATACATTAATGTTCCAGCTTCACTACAAATTGAGCTCAACATTATGCTACACTCTTAAAAATAAAGGGGTTTTCTCAGCAATGCCATAGAAGAACTATCTTGGGTTCCCCAAATAACCTTTCAGTAAAGGTTCTTAAAATAATTCTTACAATCTTAAAAATAAAGGTTCTTTATTGGCATTGATGGTTCCATTAAGAATCTTTAACATCCATGAAACCTTTCACAAAAGGTTCTTTATGGTGGAAAAGGGTCTTTAGATTATTTAAAATGATCTTTACTAATAAAAAAAGCGGTTATTTTAATAACTGTTCACTGAAAGGTTCTTTGGGGAACAAAAATGGTTATGAAAACACTCTATTTGTGGCATAATGTTGATGCAAACACCTGTTTTATATGAAAAAAAAAAACATTTTACAGTGAGGCACTTACAATGTTGACGCTAACTTTGTTGCCATAAACCCTAAAAAGTCCATACAAATTCATGCTTATATTATATAAAATATAAGCATCACATTTCTGCTTTTAAATCCTCCAAAAACTGGCCCATTTGCTTCCATTGTAAGTGCCTGACTAACCTAGGTTTTTTGTGTGTCTCTCTTTCAAAGAGAAAAAGGGGGGGAAATTAATTTGATAGATTATTAAAGCTAGGCTACAATATGTAATTTTTTGCAATATGTTAGCTAGGGGTCGCTAACCTCTTACAATAACAAAGGCGTTAAGCGGAATTATTGAACTTCTTGTCATGCCGAAGGATCTAATAATGTTTATGGAGAAGTGAATACATTGATGTTTTTAATATGACTATGGAGCAGGTCGCAATTGCTAATGAGAGACAGATCAGCGCCACACACGAGTCCCGCGGATATAAAGGAATAAGGACATTTCATTCTACCGAACTACCCGCAAGTGCTGTATTAATACTCACACAGGTCAGTTTATTTGATTAATTAAACTTGTGAGGTAACGCAGCACTGTTTCACTTGGTCTACACTATCACACTAAACTGCATTTGAGTGTGGTGAAAGTTATAATGTTATTCTGTGTGTTAGTTTGTCTGTATGAGACAGTAAGCTAGATCAACATTAGAATAACATACTGATCATATACTAACATGTCATCATGTTGAGCTATATAACATTGATTCGTTTTATACATTTGCTCACCTGTCTAATAAAGTACATAAAAAAGCTGCGTCTCTGTCAAGTCGAAATTTGTCACGGATGTGGAGCTCTCGGCATCTCGAAAACACCACGCTGATATTGATCCTCGTTTTATTTCTCCTTTTGTCCCAAAGTCTGCTTGCCATGGTCCATAATGTTTGAACGAAACAACAACAGCGTGAGCGTGCCACTAGACGTAACGCAGTTGTCCACGTCTGTCGCCATGATTACTATATCAGTACGAGCGGAAACCAGGGATAACGCGGATATTGACAGGCGACAAGTGAACAGGGAGTCAGGGACGAGCCATTATTTAAAATAGGAATTTCTCTGAAATTAAAAATCTTTGGGAACTTTTGGGATATTGTACGTACACAACTTCAGGAAATATATCACACTGTGCAAGTGATTTTTGGATAGTTTACAAAAATCTTACATATCTTTAATGGGAAAAAGTAAACTTTGCAGTAAAACTTTACAGTAAAAATGGTTTTAAGCCAGTTATTCATTTCTTTTGCTGTAGGAAATATCAATTTACATGTTTAAACATTTCTTTTGCCATTAATTGTAATAATTGAGTGATATTTTTGTATGCACAAGGAGTCTGACAACAGCTGGTATGATCCACACGGAGATCTGATCTCACCATCATCGAGTTTGTCTTTGATTACATGAAGAAACAGAAAAAACTGAGACAGACTAAACCCAGAACAACTGCGGCAGCATTTCCAAGACACTTGAAGAAACTAACCATCACAACCCTTCCAGTGCCATTTACAGTATCCGATGGATGCCCTGTGAGGCTGTATATGACTGTTTGTTTTTGTCAGGCAGCCCTATGGCCTCTGTGCTTGTAAATACAGCCCTGTTAGAAGAAAAATGCAGATGCCACAACAAGAAGCTGTGAGCTGGGACGAAGCCTACGCTTCTTGGATGTGCGGAGATAATGAGGAAGGAATTATCTCTCCATGAACTATTAATAGTCATCAAGTCCCATCATGTCTCTCTTTGGGAGAGCACCAGTAGCCTAAGGCTGCGTTATCCTTCATTCCACTTTATTAACTGCCTGTGTCAAGCAGATTATACAGAGTGCATTCCTTTATTCAGGACTCGCCAATCATATTACATGGGTTACATACAAGATTAAGGTTTAAACTTTCCGATTTTTCTTTGTTAGATATGATGTAGGTGTAGGGATCAGATTTGCTGCTCTGTCTGTCACTATTTTCATGTGCAGTACATCTCCTTCCATGGATTAGCCCACATTTTCAGAGAGGGGCAGGCTGCCAGAACTGTCACACTGGCCCAGTCATGGGCACAAATAAGCCCCTCTGATGAGCTGAGCCTCTCTGTGTATCATAGTGAGTGAGAGCGGATCACTTCAATATTCGTCCCTTGAAAATGTAACATATCAAAGAGAGCGGTGTGCTGCTGTGCCACTTATTCCAGTGTCACCACCACTCAGGATTTAGGAAGCAGAATGGAAATACAATATGCTCTTGGCCACCCCCTTCCTCCCACCACCCACCACATTAGTGAAAGGTGCTATAAAAAGGAGACCCTGGCAGCTCAAGGAGTGTCAAGCAGGAGAAACAATGACACCAGTAACTGCATATGCACATCTCTTTCATGCTATCATTGTCCTCTGAAAGTGGGCTCTGCTCGAAAGCCAGAAGGATTTTAAAGATTATCCTACTCAAACTTGACACATGTATTACTCTCCCACTCTTTTTCACAGAAACCACTGTTAAATATAGATTCTAGGACATCTGGCCTTGACCACAATAATACATTGTAAATCCCTTGCACATCACAAGATTGCGCAGTTCATTGTGATACCACTGTAGTAATAAATAATAATAATAATAATGCACTTTACTTTGAGTAAAATAATGTATTTTGTTAACTACTTGAAGAGACTTTCATGTTTTATTCAACAACATAAATTAGAATAACTTTAGTTTTTATCATAAACTTATAATCAATATTCTATTATACAAATTGTAAGTATTTAACTGACTTTTTGTTGTTTTGAGAAAACCTATTTTAAAATGTTAATTCAGTTTTTGAATATTTATTGCGTAGAAAAATTAATGTAGGCCTAAGTCTCTTCTGTTTACCACAGATATTATTTTATTCATAAACTGAAAAGGAATGTTCTAATATCGTATATGAAATTCCACAGGAAAGGAAACCCATGCCAAATTAATCAGTGTTTTAGAATAGTTTTATGAGTTATTTGGAAAGTTTGAGACATGAAATAACCATTGACTGTTGCATTTGTTTACCTCATTTTAATTGTCCTCCAACTTCTCTAATGTGTTTTTCTGGCGATTCTACTTATTGGTCTCTGCCCCTTTAAGAGCCTCTGGAAACGTGCGAGGAAAAATCTTGAAAGTGAATGAAACTCAGCCATTCATAAAAATAGGACTGACGGGGCTTCGATTGGTCGTTCAGCGCTTATACATATTCCAAGTTATTCTCGCAAACCATTGGTTTACAAATGTGAATGACGTGCCCTCTGAGCCAATGGGCTTCCAGAGCCAAATGCCTCTCGTGCCCAAGGGAAAACCGAGCAGTCCATTTACAAAAACCTCATTCAAGTTTTGAGTGTTGAAGAGAGCGCATGTATTGATCAGTGCGAGCGGACGGCATCCTTTTGGGATTACAACCTGAAACCGTGGTTTTTGAGTCCATTGCGAGCCGTCATCTATAGGGTGAGTTTAACTCTCATTCTTCACATATTTGCACGGCGTGCACTGATACCTGTATGAAAGCGGTTGTTTCTCCGCAGCGCGTAAGTTTAATCGTGGGATTCCAACGGCAAATACAGCTATCTCGCCTTGGGGGAAAGCGAACGCCATTTTCTCCAATAGAGGGCTTATACACTTTGGCAACCATTTTAATGCACGAAGTTTTTCCTATCCTTATTTTGCGCAGTTGCTGTTGTTACAGAAGCTTGTATGGTCCGCATTAGTGCACTAAACTGACATTTATAGGTGAGGTCGGTGCAGCCTGAACAGTGTATGGTTTTTCTGAATGGAGGTCTCTCGTTCTTTCCCCCCCTCACTGATCGAGTTTCACTTCATTGAGAAAAACAAGAGGCCGTCAGGGGGCTCCGAGTGGGAGGAGGTCCTCACCCCTGCTCAATTTTAGATTTGCTTTAAGCACTTAATTTAAGGGTATTTTTCTCGGCTATTTCCCCATAATTATACTCAAAGTATTTGAAACGTGTATTTTATTCTAAAATAAGAAAATGAGAGAGAGGGAGAGAGAATGAAAACAATTATTTTCTGGAGATTTACGTTGCTGGTCATATCATTTTCTGTGTTTTTGAGTTATTTCTACTAATCTATTTTTCATTTTTTTAATGCATTTTTGGAATAACTAAAGTGCGCTATTAAGTATCGTGAACGGGTGAAAGTGCGAGCTGTTTCGTTGTGCATGTAAACTAGTTTATGACTGAACAACTATTAGCCGCAGTCCGCGGAAGTTTTCCGTACGTTTATCTCTAGCAGATAATTATCAGTTATATTTTAGTTAGACTTCCTTAATTTCTCATCTATTAACATTTAATTGTAGGTGTACATGTCGATATTAAATAATATATTTAATATTTATAATTAATACAAATAAATGAAATAATTATAGAAAAATATTGTTGTGTGTTATCTATCTATCTATCTATCTATCTATCTATCTGTCTATCTGTCTATAATGTGTTTGTGTGTGTGTGTATATGTATATGTAAACTATTAAGTAAACAATTGTTGCTGTGTTGAGTCACATGAAAGGTTGGCATAATAAAAATAATAAAACAAAATATATTGTTGTTAATACTCATGATACTTGTGTATATTGTTTTGTTTTAATATATACATGTATGCTTAACACTTTTAATGAATACGTTTTAAATTTGTATAGTTATATAAATGTATTATTTATAAATAGCAAAGAGTTGTAATGTGGTGAAGCATCACAATAAAAGTTGGCATAGTCCTCACAGTCGCCCCTCCCAAGCGTGCAGTTGATACACCTAAGTTAGTATCCACTATCCATTCATTGTTCCTTGAATAGATGCTTGGCCAACAATTTTGTTTTTCTATGTTTATTCATGGACTAGTAATATAACTGGAATATCAATGTATCATGAAATGTATGGTTTCCATTTTCCTCAGTTTATCTTAATATGCTCATCACTCTTTTCATAGTATAATCATGGGCACAGATGGTTGGCTTTGCTTATGTAAGGTACATTCATCTCTACTGCAGATTGCATTACGCAGATCTCCCTCTCTCTCTCTTTCTGTCTCTCTGTCTGTCTTTACACATACGGAGGGATGTTGTGATGGCTAACAGAGAGCGAAGGGGGAGGATGAATACACAGGATCAGATGGATCTGAGCGTTTTGTCAGCCTGTTTGCAGGGCTTGGTGTTTTGATGTGGGACACACTTGACTGTCCAGTATAGATCTATTGAATGACTAATCTATTTCCCCCCCCCCCCCCCCTTAGAGAAAACCGACCCAAAGAGGTCAATATAACAATCGCTTTTAAGCGAAGACCCTTTTCTGGGAGCCTCCTTGAAGACCCAGGTGACATGGATGGATTTTATGACCAGCAAGTACCATTTATGGTCCCACCTAATGTAAGTATACTTCTGCATTTCTAAAAAACAAAAAATCTAAATTAAATTAGTCAACACTGACCAAAGTATTTTTCCACAGCAGAAGTCATTGCAATTGGAGGAACCGTATATACGACCAGTTAATGAGAGAAAAAGAAAATTAGTGGAGACTGAACTCGCTCAGGACACAGAGGGTAATTTCAACCTAATGAACATGACTAATGCATGTTTAGCAGATGGATCAGATTATTGGGATACATTAACAGTGAGAGAGCAGAAGTATATGTGCTCAAAGTAGTTTGATCGATGCTGTGATTGTTGAAGGCTGCCTTTCATTTATCAAATACTTGGATCGTAGTGGGTTTTCGAGCTCTCTGACTGTCTTGGGTTTGCCTGTCATCCGCAGAACTTTTCCAGGACCTCAGCCAGCTGCAGGAGATCTGGATCGCAGAAGGTTTGTAGCCTATTAATTTTCATGCATGTCACTTGTGCTTTGTCATGCAGCTGACATTTATATTTCAGACTCATGAACATTTACATTCATGAAGTGTTACACTTTGTCCCAGCTCCTGTTTATTTTTCATGACACGGTAGCCATTTAATTTGGTCTGTTGCACCAGCTTTGCGGCAGTGTCCAAAAAGTTGGCACTAAGATGGCTGTTCATTTTTAGAGGAACTAAATGTTGTCTGACAAAATGACTTTGATCTGCCAATTGTTTATCAGCAGGGAGCATTGTTTGCAACTCCTTAATGCTCTCCAATCTCTCTCCACAGCTCAGGTGCCCGATGACGAACAGTTTGTCCCAGATTTCCAGTCGGAGAGCTGTGAGTACCTTGAGATGTATTATTTATTCTCCTTGGCAGTGTACTTTGGATGCCGTCCAGAAATGGCTAGGGAAAACGGCAGAGGCTGAACTCTTGAAGCTATTTATTATTCATCTCTTGCTCAAATTTAAAGCCAAAATTTCATGGGAAACAAAGGAGATCTTAGACTAAGGATGGTACTGAGTGGCCAGATACTCTTATTGAATTTAATTTGTTGAAGATGCCAACAGTCAGTCTCACAAATGAAGCTCATTATATAGTTTATATTATATATTTTAGCATGCGATAATTTTTAAAGAAATTGATTTGCTCTTTAACTTGGTCAGACTCAGTAGTATTACATCCCCACACACTCAACCCGATAGTGCTTTGATTTATTAGGACTTCAATTGTCTTTCCTCTTTTCATTCTTGCCTGAATCCTCTCAGCAAGAACCCCCGCAACTACCTATTTTTTCAGTCAAATCAGCCGATTGGTATCAGCATCACATGATCCAAGCTCATAATCAGATTTCACACTTTCATGCACTCTGTTTAGCCTCTGGAATGGACCGAATTCCAGCGGGAAGGGTGAGAGGAAAAGGCTTCCCCTCACTGCCTACCTAAACCCATTGAATCCACAGCTACTGAATCTCATTTCATTGAGGGTTCTCCGTCCAAACGCACCTAATTTGTTAGAGCCTGGCCACAGGAATCAAAGCCAAAGGAAATACTTGAGGAATGCTTGGTGGAGCATTTTATGTTATTTTTCCCCCCGTTTTGTCACTGAAGTTTGTTTTTGTTTTCGTCTGATGTTGAGGCTGGGAGACAGGGTGTGTACCAGGTCATGCATTTTGGTCCAGTTTTGCATGTCAGCGTGGCGTTACTGAAAAGCAGAAGATTGTTTTGAACGTTTGTGGCATGCTGTTTATAAAATGAGGCACTTTTTGAACGTAAGCCATCGGTTTCTTCATGTGCAAGCTTTTTTTCAGTCTTTTCAGTATCAACGGGTCATCTGGACGTCACATGGCAGCCCATGCCCTCCTACACTATCCCAGTACCATATCAATGGGGAGAGGGCTCTTCTCTTGCAAAAACCCCAATGTCCACAGAGCAGAAAATCTCACTTTAATAGTTTGTGGAAGAGTGCATGTACCTTCACCCCAAATTAAAAATTGTCGTTCCAAACTCATAAGACTTTTGTTTCTCTTCGAAAGACAAATGAAGATATTTTTTAATGAAAATCCATTCCACAAAAACTTTGATGTTTCAAAAAGTTACACAATCACTTTTAAATGATGAACCGGTTTAATTTAGGCTTTTATTCACAACATATGGTCAATGCACATTGAGCACACCGAATATGGTCTTTTTTGGGCGGACAAACCCTTTAACGCATGCTTTTGAGCTTTCACGTGCCTACTGAGTGTCTCTTAAGCCCAGTACAGTCTGAGTGATTTATCTGGCTCGACTCGTGTGGATCCAGTTGCGTTGGCCATTATGTGGCGCCGGATATGAGAGCTTGATGCAGAGATCCAGGGGCTAATGGTTACAGTGCGGGGAGGAAAATCATTCACAATCATTGAATTACGACCACACTGATTCATGAGTATTGACTTGGCTATGATGGAAATCAGAGGGGAGTGCTTTGATTGCATGTGTTCTGCACCGTGATACTGATAGGCAGAAAGAAGAGCTTTTATGCTTCACAGTCGATTGTCATTACCCGTGAAATATGGGGGTTTAATGGTAGAGAAGAATCTCCTTCTGAAGCGTTTCACTGCACTTTTGTTGATGTGTTCGATTAGAAACATCTCCTTCTGCTTTTTTTTTCTCCCAGTGATGTTTCATGGTCCGCCACTGGCGAAGATCAAACGGGAACTGAGTCCCTCCAAAGAGCTCTCCCCCTGTAGCCAGGATAGAAGTCCCATGCCGTATGGAGAGAAGTGCCTTTATAGCTACAGGTACTTTCTTATATCCATCTCAGCATCATTAAGACCTTCTTGTCAACATGTTGAGTGTGATGACTGACTGTTCTCATTTTCCTCAATACAGTGCCTATGAAAGGAAGCCCACAGCTGGGTTTAAGCCATTGACTCCTCCCTCAACACCCGTTTCGCCATGTGGCTCCGCCAACACTCTGGGGACACGTCCGCTGCATGAACAGAGTCCTCCCCCTGTCTCCAACACAACATTAGGACAGCGTCTCCTTCATGGGCAGCCTTCAATGACCAAGACGTCGCCTAGCCAGACGACACTCCCTCACCATAGCCAGAGCCCACCTTTTGCAGTGCCCTGTCCACCCCTAAACCGTGAACCTCACTTCAATAATGAACCTAGGTCAGTCTCTACATGGTTTTAGAACTTCAGTGAACATGTGTATTCTATTTACTATATGGAATACTTTATATCTTACTGTTAGTATGTACAGTATGAAGGACAAAAGTGAACTACAATGAGGACTACAATACCGTATACATATTGGGATGTTATATTAGTGTTCGATTGGGGTTCGAAATGTTTTTAAAAGAAGTTCTAATTCTCTCCAAGATTGCAATTATTTGATGAAAAATACAGTAAAAATGTTAATATTGTGAAATATTATATTACAACTTAAAATAACTTAAAAAAATGTTTAAGTGTTTATTTGAAACATAATATTTGATATCTTTTGTAACATTATAAATGTCCTTACTGTCACTTTTGGTCAATTGAATGCATTCTTGTTGAAGAAAAGTACATATTTTTCAACAACAGAAAAAAATCTTACTGACCCCAGACTTCTGGTAGTGTGTATATATTGGTTGTTTATATAATTATTATTGTATTGTATTAATGATATATGACAGATGACCTTTCAGCAATGCTCACTTTGATGTCAAAAAAGTGGTGTAAATCACAGCTGGGGGGGGGGTATAATAATATGACCCCCGTGAGAACAGATTGGCTGGCATCCTGTCCTGCCACCTGTAGCTGAATTCCTGGGAGCTTACCAGAGAATGTGTGGCACATAATTTACAGCCAGTAGAAGAAGACTCTAAAGTGCTAGTGCTAAGCTGCTCCTTATCCTGTCTCACATGACCAAAACATTTATATTTTTTGCTGTTATCTTGCAGGTTTCAGCGGCAACTTTCAGAGCCTTGTCTTCCATTCCCACCTTCTGACACACAGGGAAGACCCAACTTCATGCCACAGGTCCCCAGCACTTCACCAAGAGATGGAAGGCCACCTTACCATCGGCAAATGTCAGAGCCTCTGGTTCCCGTGCCTCCTCAGGGCTTCAAACAGGAGCTTCTAGACCCCCGCTACGCTGAGCAAGGTGTTCCCAACATGGGCCCATCCCAGGCTGCCTTCCACCCAATGGCCATCAAGCAAGAGCCACGAGACTTCTGCTTTGACTCTGGTGAGGACTGTCCCATTTCTTAGAAATGGTTTTTAGGTGTTCACAATCTGGCTGGGCTTCTTGAGAGCTCTCTGGGTGAGGGCATGGAATGGGTTTTGTGTGCTTGCACGGGCCTGTGACTTTTAGCGTTGTTTAGTGAGGTGTATACGAACAAAAGCATGCACACATTGAACCTTTGCATTCAAAGAGACATTCAGAGAAGGCAGTGCTCATCATACTTAAAACTCTAAATTTTGTAAGAAAAATATTTATAATAAAAATTATTTGTTTTAACAATGCTGTATAAAGTTATATTTAATTATTGATTGTCATGACATTTTGGAAATATTGACATGCAATTAATTCTGATTCATTTTATTAATAAGTTAACCTGTAACTAATGAATTTGAACATTTTCAATACATTTACAGCCCTATTAACAAATAATCAAAGGTGAACGTGTCATTTAACAAGGTTATTTAGTCCTAAACACTGACACTCATATCTGTGGGTAATCCTCGTATTTGAGGGTAATCCACCTCAGTTTAGGGTTAATTTATGCATCCTATTGTCCAAAACCCCCCAGCTTAGCTCATCTTCCTGTTTGTGATCCATACATTCTTCTAGTGTTATAATATCCCTCTAGGTTTATGTTTGCAGGTTAGTGATGTAATTTCAAATCCTCTTACCGTCCTTTCTTGTAAATGTGTACGTCACATATTACATTTGCATGGGGGGCGGCTGAACTGAGTGTTTTCATCTGTACAGCAGCCTGACAGATGATGCATCTGATGCAATCAATGAGGATCACATACTCAAAGTAAGACAGCAAAGGGGCAGAGTGGCCTGCCGAATCACCAGGACACACAAGGACAGATAAAACTTGATTGTCATGGTCCAGTATCTCGTCACAGTGGCTAATCCTATTTGGTGACTCAGTGGACTCATTGCTAATGCTGCGTGTTTCTTTGGCGTGTTGATATGAGCTTAGCCAGCACTACCAGATGTGCAAGACTGGACATTCACGGCCCAGCTGTTCCATCTGAATCACTATTTTTCATCGTCTTAGCTCCCTCAAAACCTCTGTTCAGATGCCAAATCCAGAAGTACATGTCACTCTTTAAATCTCTATTTCTAATTAAGGAATAGACAGGATTTCAAAATAATAATAAAAACTATAATGGTATCTCAAGGATACTAAAATAACACTATTTTCTGTTTTCTTTTAGTTCAAAAAGTTAAAGGGGTGATGAACTGAGAAATCTAATTTTCCTTCAGCTTTAGACATCTAAGAGGTAATCATATTATAAGAATATCCTGTGAGTTTCAGAACTGAAAACGTCCTTGTTAGTCCAATAAAAGCTTTTATTGACACCAGGCTCAGCAAACGACTCGTTTTTCAAAGTGGGGAACTATGACGACAAAGAGGATAAAACACCACCCCCGCAGAAGAAGATCAACGCCTACTTCAACACGGCCGGTTTAGCCCCGCCCACCGATTCGCGCATTACACGAAACTCATTATAATATGCAAAACTGTTATCCACTCACAGCAGTGGGCGTTTACTTCCAAGTCTTCAATGCGAGACGCCCATAAAAACCGAGCGTTTTTGAGCTAGGCTCAAAACTAGGGTAGAAAATAGCCTTTTACCTATTCATTTAGATGTTTTTGAATGTAAAAACCAAGCGAACGTCATAAGTTGACCTCAGACAACAATATAAAAAAATTTTAAAAAGCCAGTTCATGACCCCTTTAAACTAAATGAAAATATTGCCTTGGAAACACTAGCTGAAATAAAATCAATTCATTTTATATATACATATATTTTATATCTTTTAATCAACAACGTTTTTATGGTTTTACTCGACCATAATAACCCTGGGAACAGTTAAAGGGTCACTTCACCCATTTCAACATTAATCTTTATTGAAAGTGGGTCATTTATGTAGTCGAAATGTAAAAGAAATTTTGAATTTGATGCCCTCTTGACCGAGAAAAGACAGAAAATAACTTTAGTGCGCATTTGTATGCAAGACAACAACTCCCACAATGCACCACATTGCACAGCTCCGCAAGCCACTCCCACTAATCCAGAACAGCGCAAACATCAGAGAAATCACTTTTCCGTCTACAAGGTTAGCTGCCACCAGAGTTAGAAATTCATTTCACACAAAATTTCTAGTTAGTTGGCTGTGGCGAGCAGGACGAGGGCGAGGGATGTGATAGGACAGCGCGAGGCCGGTGGCGCGAGTGATAATGAACGACACCTGTGAGACGCACCGGACCGGTGTCTCTCGCGTCTCTCACCGAGGAGCGGACGCATAAAACGAGGAGCGACGACAGGGCAGATCGAGAGAGGAACAGGCCTGATTTTATGTTGTGTTTTGTTTCTGTTGTGTGTGGCCAGCAGTGAGGGGCTGCTCGCTTATATTTTTGTTTCGTATTTGTTTATTTTACTATTAAAATGTTTAAATGTTTGCCGGTTCCCGCCTCATTCTTCCCACAACAACGAACCCCGTTACATTGGCAAACTCATTAGTGAATTACTCCTCGTTTGTATTTCTTTCTATATGGTGAATTATTGCATGATGATGATAAAGTTACCTGGATGTTCAGTCAGAACATATGCGGTGCGAAACTTGGATGGATCACAACACAAACGTCCGTGTGCTCGTCTGATTCAGAGGTTTCGTCCAGGTGATATTGCGATCGTTGAAATTCTCTGCAGCAGACGGACTCTATCTGTGTCCGTAGCGCACAGCGAGAGCCGAGAGCACGACATGTAGGCACCAGCAGTCCGCCCAGCTCGAGCCAGTCCGGGCTTCTCGTCTGCGCCGGGCTGGTCTCCTGCGGCGGCCGCTGCCGCAGCCGACGCCGCCGCCTCTTGTTCCTCCATCAGCCTCAGCTGCTCTTCGCTATATTGTGGCTCGTATAAATAGCCACGAACATCGGTTTCGAGCAAAAGATTTTCAAAATCCTCGTCTTCCATATCGTGTGTCGTAAATTCAGGCATTATGGTAAATCTAACTCCTTGAGCGCTTGTTAGCTTAGCTTGCTGTCTTCCAAGCAAGATGGCGGATTAATAGTTTAGTTTCTTCAGGTTTAGTCCCACCCACTGATCTGTAATAGGCCGGTGGGGTGAGTGGGTCCCACGCCCTTGAATAATAATGAGCTAAAGGCTGTAGTTTTCTTAATATGCAATGAAATTTATCTTCCGTCCTATCGTGACGCAAAATGACGATATTTACGTCACGATAGGACGGAAGTAAAACACTTAAATCCTTTTTTCTCCCATCTCAGAAAAAAAACAAGCAAAATTCCACCATCATTATAATATATGACTGGGTTTCTAACAATACAAACCTTAATGCAAATGGGTGAAGTGACCCTTTAACATTATTAATTTTATTTGATCTTTTATAGTATTTCTTTTATTCATTTAAATTAACTTCGGACTCATTTATGATTGGTAATTTCTCCTTTTTAATGGGCCCATTTTTCATGTTGTTTTGCAGAAGTGCCTAAGTGTCAGTCTTCATTTGGGAGAGCAGCAAGCTTCTACCAAAACCATGAGAGTAAGTGACCTCGCCATTATCGCATATATCACCTCACTGCAGCGTTGGCTTGCTAAAATCATCTTATCCTTTTTTTAATCTTACAGTATCTTTGTTTCCTCCCTCTGCCTGTAGACTTCTCATTTGACCGAGATCAACAGATGTATTTCGACGACACCTGCGTGGTTCCCGAGAGACTTGAAGGTATTCAAGATTTTCACCAAGATTTCACCACGGGTTGTCTATAGTTTTAATTGAAAGACAAGTGAATGGTCAAGCCATCTCAGTAGGTTTCAAATGTTCAGTCTTTTTTATTTTTGGCGTTGTTGTTTTTTGTGTTAAAAATCACTTAGGCACCCCCTTGTAGTATGGCGGTGCGAAATGAACACTGCGTCCACATTAGCAGCATGTGTTTTGGAATTTCTCGTCTGCTTGCTCACGCCACTGTGGCAAACTCTAATCCTCATCATTCTTGTTCCTGCCAGGGAAGGTAAAGCAAGAGCCCTCTGTTTATCGGGACGGCCCACCATACCAACGTCGTGGCTCCCTCCAGCTTTGGCAGTTTCTGGTTACGCTGTTGGATGATCCTGCCAATGGTCATTTTATTGCCTGGACAGGACGTGGAATGGAGTTCAAACTTATTGAGCCAGAAGAGGTCAGCACCTAAATTCAATATTTTTAGTTTCTAACAAGCACACACACCATGTACAATAGCCTTGCATATTCTCGCTTTTGGTAGCTGGGTTTTCCATGTAATTTTGTGTGAATTTTGGAATATCACACCAAAAATGATAATAGAAACACATTAAGATGAAACTAAAACTTCTTAAGGTGGATTTGTCGATTTTCAATCAGCTTTGAATTGTTACGATGTTGGTAGTCTATCTAAATGAACAATGCTTACACTTTCTCTTTCTTACCTGCACCGAGATTTTCTGGTTTATTTGACAGCTCTAGGGCTTTTATTAAAACTACAGATTGTACACTGGAAAAAAAAATCGGTGTACTTTTGAAACAGTTTTCACTCAGAAATTGCTAGTAAATTTCACAATTTACAAAGAAACGGCAAATGACATTGAATTAAACATGAAATTTTGAAGTAGATCGACTGAAATAGTATTTTCTTTTAAAGCGTACTTCATTAGTTTTCATTATTTGTGAAGAAAATCCATTTTTACAGTGTACAGTACATCTTTGTATTCCCCAAAACAATTTCTGCCTTTCTACTGTGTAGACAGACAAGTTTTATTAAAAACCCATTTTGCCAGTGGTGAATTACTCCTTTTAAGAAGACATTTAGACATTTCATTAAGGAAAACGCATTTACAAAATACATTTTTAAATGCATATTTTATCCAGAAAGTCATGTGGCTGAATTATTCGCCCAGATTATTGGCTCCCAGAACTATGACACACTGTTGCTCAAAGACAAAAGGCATCTGCCACTGATTGTAAGCAAACTTGAATTTTGTCAGAGAGTTTGACCGCTCTAAATCCCAAGTAATTTATGACATAAAGCAACATTGGCTTTCCCAGTGGCTAAAACTTCCATTTTTATTTGGTGTCAATTTCCCTGCAAGTGACACCGCTTTATTCATAAACTGTTTTTGATTCCATTCCAATTTTGGTTGTGCACATTAAATTGCTATCCAACTAAATAAAGCTTGGCTAATGAAATAATCATCGTCTGTGTTTTCAGGTGGCCCGACGCTGGGGCATCCAAAAGAACAGACCGGCCATGAACTACGACAAGCTGAGTCGCTCACTTCGTTACTATTATGAGAAGGGAATCATGCAGAAGGTAAAGGCAGGTTCACATTTCTTTTACTTTATGCTTTACTCATAATGACAATAGTTGCTCCAATTTTCCACGTTTTTTGTTTTTTTGATAATCTAATGCCTCATTTCTCTCTTCAGGTTGCTGGTGAGAGGTATGTGTACAAATTTGTGTGTGATCCCGAGGCCCTCTTCTCCATGGCCTTCCCAGACAACCAAAGGCCCAACCTTAAAGCAGACCCCGACGGCTTGCCCGGAGTGGACGACGACACTCTTCCGTTGGCGCACTATGACGAGGGGGCTTCGTACTTGGTAGACGGTGGCGAGCAGTGTGTTGCTGGGATGCCTTTCCCTGACGCTTATGTGTACTGAGCATGAACCCTTGATCTAACTGAAACACATCTGTCCCTCTTGCCTCGACTCCTTTTGAACTGTTGCCCACTTCCAGATTAACCCTCCCAATCATTAAAAAAGAACGAGGAGAAATCTGCGAGCCACCTTTTCTCTGGCGTCAGCCCACGAGGAGGTGTCAAGGAGGTGAGGAAAGTTGGTTTCCCACGCTTAAACCTTCCTCGTGGCAAACGGTCTCTGCCGCAGAGATGAAGAGGTTGAGCTGGAGCTGACCGGCACTGAAAGACTGACGGATCTCACTGCAAGAATTGTAGCAATTCTGTTTTTGACAATCTGCTTTTTAAAAAAAAGAAAAATTGGTAACAAACTATTAACAGACATCCTCACAGAAAAACCCTTAAATGCAGCACTATTTAATAGTTGCCTTTTTGGTCTCCATTTATTTTGTTTTACCTCCAAACCATGTAGACAAGAAGTCAAAAGGGCTTTGTTTTGCAAGGAGGAAAATAAAAAATGACCCATTTGTTTCTTTAGACTCTTTAGAAAGCTGGCTTTTATACACTTTTGTTGAACTAATGTGGACCGCTTTAATTATGCTGAGAAATACTGAACATGTTCTTTTTGTATCATTGGTTTCGTTCTGAATCCTTTGTCAAGTGTTAGTTTTATAAAAAACGTTTTTTGTTTTGTTTTTTCTTGCTGGTTAACCCAGGGGTTGTTGATGTGAAGTTAAACCAGAGGCACTCTTAAGTATATTTAGTCAGCTTCACAAGACTGTTAAACCTTTTTAAATGTATTTCTGTATGCCTGTTGATTATTTAATTTTACACTCCCCAAAAAGCCAAAATTTTAATTAGTTCATATAATTGTCTTACTTTCAAAAGGGATGCACTAGTCAGAATTTCTCCATGCTTTAGTGCAAGTAAAGGTCAAAAACATTTAGACTCTTAATTTTTTTTTTTTTTTTTTTTCTGCATCGTTCTATATTTTAATGCACCAGGAAAGCAGGGCCTTGCATGCAATAAGGTACAAGAAAAATACATTTTCCTGGTCAGCTACTCATTGCCAATCTCAAGTTGACAAAAGACCACTGCTACCTTTGCATGACATATTCAATGATCAGCTGTCCACTAACATATCGCTTTATGCTGGACAAAGAATAAATTGTGGAGTTATCTGCATTTGTATTCTCTCTCTCTCTCTCTCTCTCCTTTTTTTCTTTGGAAAGATGAACTTATATATTTTTGCAAAGTCTGCATTTATTTGATTTTATTGTATAAGCTGTATAGTTCTGCCTGTAACAGATATTCTATGTATGTTTTGAATGGATCCCTGTGTTGCAGTGACTGCACACCAGTGGTTACCAGACACCCTTTCCTGGTGGGTTCGAGAGCAGTGCCTTTAAATGAGAGGTGCAGCTTATAAAATAACCGTTTTCTCATCGAATGAGGGGCTTGTCTCAACGTCCACCATAGAAGGGTTGTCTGCACTTGTACAGGCTTAACCTTGTCCCCTCACAATGTGTACCTTACACTGCTGAGTTTATAATCTGTACTGGGTACAATAAACTGTTCATTCTGCTTCACTTGCACTCCTGTGTTCTGCTTTTTCTTCTGCCACATCTTACTAGCCATTTGAGTGACAGTAGTCACGTTTTGTTCGGTTCATTGAAACTGCTGAGACATTGCATATTATCAATACTGAAAACAGTAGAGCTGCTTAATATTTTAGTGGAAACCATATTAATACTTTTTTCCCAAATTTTTAATGAATATAAAGCCCATTTTAGATGATGGGCTAGCAATTGCTTTCTTGCAGTGAATCTGAAACTCTATTCTGTATCGATCGGCCTCTATTCAGTTAAAGGCCTCTTGCTGTCCCAGGGGCTGCGCTGTCCTTTCATCAGGACTTCAGATAGTTAGCTAATGTGTGTCTGCTCATATGATCATGCTGTAAGCCTTCCATCTATGATTATTTAATAGCTTTGTATGGATGGGTGAGTAGCATGTGTGATACTATATCTTGCACTTATGTCAAAACATCCACAGCCTCAATTATTCATCCAAACCCATTTATGTTTGCACAACACCGTGCATCTATACTATCATATTTTTCCTTTTTACACTGAGACACTAAAAATTGCACAGTTTAGTCTTGATAAATTTCATCCAGAAACTGAAAACGGTGATGATCCAGCTGAGGGTGATCGATGTTAGATCACCGTGGCAACATTCCTTACCCCCTTCTGCTCTAGAAAGACACTTAACCTTTGAACCCACCTACTTCCCTGTAAATAACACTGCAGTCAACACAACCAGTTTATTTCCAGCTAACTTCATGCTATTATATAGGCTATAACTGACTAATGCAATATAGAAGAACATGGGTGTTCTATATATATATATATACAAGCAATATATGCATTCATGCAAAGTGGCTAGTTCCATCAACATATATTTTGCACTGTGGTCTGCTAATGACTGTTTTAGTGAAGTATTGATTTCACTTAGCAAACCGACAGCTAATGCATACCATTTGCTTAGGGTACGTCTGTTAGTACAATGGAGCAAGACAGAGCTTAAGATGTGACATGATCTAACTCACTACTGTTTATTTTGCCTTGTAAGCAGCTGTCCATCTGCTGAGACAGAAATTAAATTAAGTGTGATTACAATACAAGCTCGAATTAATGAACTTCTTATTTTACTCGATTAATTAATTAATTAAATACTGTTTATGCATTGATATGCATATATTCTTAAAATGAACCTGAATGTAAACGACGGAAGAAATACAGGGAAAGGCAAAACGGTGTCCGATTCACACACAGTATGTTTATAAAACCAGAGGCATAAATTAATTTCCTTAATGTAAATTATATTTGTGATCTAAATGTTGTGTTTGTTTGTTTGTTTTGTTTTTATTAGCTTATTAATACAACTTTGTAAATGTAGCCTACTGGCCTACTGGGGATCATTCATTTGATGACGCAGCTCGTCAAGACAAGAATCGCTGAATTGTTTTTGACCGAATCTTTGAAACTATTCGAAAGAACCGATTCACATAAATGCACGATTAATAATCAAAGAATAACAACACTCTTAATAATAACAGTCTTAAAGGCACTTTAACCTGCTGAATATAACCGTCAGAGCGCATACAACTGTTCTGACGTTAAAATGGCTAATCAAAATCATCTAGATAATAACATAAATGACAGAAAATTATCATTCTCCTGTCGTGCTTCATTTTACTGGCGCCTAGTAACGTTATTGATTAAGTCATGCAGCTGCGCCTAATGATTAAGAGGGCGCTTTATCTGAGGTGGACATGCGCTTAGGCTGTTTTAATTTCGATAAATACCGGTGCAAACAAAGTCTAACGGATTTTGTTCTTGAATTGGATCATTTAAGTGTTCCAAATGTGGTATCCTCCACCTGTCGTCTTACCGTTCGTCTTTGAATCTTTGAGTTCCATCGCATATGAGGATCGTTCTAACACAGCCATGTGGCAGCAAGTCATTCCCTTTGACCAATATGCATATGCAGTGAACGGGATTGGTGGTAAGTCGAGCCCAAAGTAACGTACTAGCATTACTTTTGGTCCCAAAAGAGACCACAAATGACCAACCCCAGGCCAAAGTGGGGTTGGTCATTTGGGGTCTTTCAGAAATTTGCGTATTTTGAGTCATGGTTTTAGGTACATAACGGTCCTCTTTCGTTACCCCACAGTAAATCGCGTTTTTACCAACTTTTCCCTCTCGCATTTGTGTTCTTAATTTTAAAACCTCAAAATCGTACTGATTTGGAAATAGGCAAACGTAGGCTACCACAAACTGGTTGGTTATTATTTTAATTGGTTATCATAAACATGTATTTGCCTATAGCTGCTGATAAAAGGGAAGTATCGCATATTCACACACACACACACACACACAACTTTCGCGTTGAAAATAAGGTCGACCTCGACGACATTTTGTGCGCAGCTGCACGCGCATCCTCCGTGAAGGGCGCGCGCTGTTCAACGGACAACGCCTTAAAATTTGGTCAAAAAGCTGGACCTAGCGAGCATAACTGTTAGATAAGTTATTTATGTCTTAAATGTTAACTAGTTGGACGAAATTTGTGTGATGTCAGATAGGTGCCATTAGTTGACAGAAATGTAACTTAGTTTATAGAAGGTTGGTATTCGCCATGAAGTATGTGGTTAGTTTTTAAAACAGGCCTAACGTTATGCATTTTGCGATTGCGAACCGTTTCTGTTAATGATCTCTTTGCTGAATTTCTTACACATCTCTCAAGGCTTTCACAATGATCGATTGTATAACGTTACCAATGATGGAAGGAAGTTTCTGTTGATGAGGTAAGCAATGGTTGATCTTAAACATTCAATAAGAAATTTTACAGATTATTTATATCTTCAGTGCTTCCATTTTAAGCATTGACCTTTGAATCAATACAATTTGAAGTACCACTGTGCCTTGTTAATCTGAGAGAAGTAATTGTGCATTTTATAGGTCACTGTATGAGCTTGTCTGGGCCAATTATTACCTGGAACTCAAAGATCCAAAGTTGCTTGGGTGGTTCCAATGTTTAACACCAGAGGACAGGACCTTAATACAACGTAGGGGCATATAAAGTAACTTATAAAATGACCATTAATAATCAACAAATGTATGGGCAATTTTGGAAATATGTGAAATTGCTTTCTCATCGACAGAAGAGGGAGGGTATCTGCTATTTTTGAAGAAACACCCTGCACTTGAAGTAGCCAGACAGTACGTGTTTGTGAAACGTGAGTTTAGTTGGTAAAACATATATATTTTTGTCAGAGCAAGCGTTCTGTATAATGTGTAAAACTATTTCTTTCTAATTTAGCAAACACCAGAGGAAACAGTGTTCCCCCTCCAACAACTACCGGTATGTCATCAAACAGGTGAGTTTTTAATTTTCGAGTTTGTTTCAATTTGCTGTAGTTTGGTGTTCATATGATTTTATTACCATTCTGTTTCATGGTTCATCATGCTTTATTAATCATACATTTTATAACTGTTAAATATTAAAGTCTGCTTGAAATGAGAATTTCTAAATACATGGTATTCATCTTATTGTGAATTATTAATCCATGCATGTCATTTTTATTTATTTGTTTTAACCTAATATTTGTTTTAATAATATGTCAACTGTTCTGGTGAAACGAGAGACTTCTCTCTGGTGAACTTCTCCAATTTTGTAGTCCACTTAAACCCCTCCCTTTTCAATCTGCCTCCATCCAATCAACAACCAATTGATAGTGCCAAGTCCCACCCTATATATATATATATATATATATATATATAATGTATGTGTGTGTATGTAGTTTTTTTTTTTTTCACTTGGATGTGCATGACAGTATGGATAATGGTAATAAAATATTGATAAGACAACAATTATTTTAATGTTATGGCTGATCATACCGATAACGTCCAATATTAAAATTCTGTATTTTTCCTTGAATGAATAAAAAAAAAATAGATCACTGAAAGATAAAATCAGTCATTTTAAATGTTACAAGTGAATTTAGGAATCACAACATTATAAGAGACAGTATGATGAATAGGTGTTAATTTTGAGATTTTATAAATAGAAATACTACATTTAACACTTATTGTTGTTTTGAAAATTAAGTGAGCAATATATGATGACAAAGGTAATCTAAATGTAAAAAATAGGAGAATGAGCAACACAATTATCAACTGATGAATATATTTTTTAAAAATCTGATATCTACCAATAATCAATATGGAACCTATATATCACTAGGGGTGGAACAGTACACTGAAGTCACGGTTCGGTACAATGGAGGGAAAAGCAAAACAAAAATGCAGAAGAAAAAAATGTATTGTGCATGTCTCAGGCTGTACCACCTAGGTTATTACTACATTTGACAGGGTGGCCGCGGGTCCTTAAAGTCTTAAATAAAGTTTTCCTAATAAAAGGCCTTAAAAAGTATTAAAATGTCTTGAATTCAGATTCGATGGGTCTTAAATATTTCTGGTCACATTACCGCTAACATTTCTCCAGTGTGACGGACCCAATGTCCGTCAAATAACCAGTGAAGCATCGAAGCGGGAAAATTCACGTTTATTTTTACGTTTCTGTCAATTTGAGGTGTCGTTGCCGCAACGTGTTGCTATGGGTTGCGTCACTTGCGTCAAGTTTGTTGTGTCTTGCTTCGGACGAGGGTCTAAAACTCTGGAGTAGGCTAATGTATGGACGGCAGGCGTAACCGTAGCAAAAGTTATGTGTTTTAAAATGACAATGCACTAGTGTAAACATAGGTATTCCACAGTCTGCTCGGGAACTGATGTTCTCGAGCCAAATATAGTTATTTCAGTGAGTATATTGCTCGACGGCAGGAAGGAATGAACAAAACGGTTTTTTTTTTTTCAATAATAAAAGGTAGTGCGTCGATTCAATTAAAAATATTACAGAATTCATTGAAGCCTGTTTGTAATGTATAATACACCGACCAATCGTTATCTGGCACAAGAAGTTAAAAATTTCATTAGACAATGTGAAGTGGAGCGGTAATTTTCCAGTCATTCATGAATCGTTTGAAAATAGATGGACAAACGAATTAACATTTATGAAGTGATCTGAATTAAACAATGGATGTTAATTGACTACAAAGCACTGCACAAAACCAGCACCAAAAGTCACATTACTGGTAAGTAGGTCTAGTATTAAAGTCACTTTTTATTTAGTCTATGTATATTGATGCGTTTACCATTTAATCAAACTATCATAGTTGGTTAAATGAAACACAGGCGCGACCTACAGGCCTATTGTGTGTAGTCTCTTATGTGATCAAGCCTGCATTTATTTGATCAAAAATACAGAAAAATATTATTACCATTTAAAATGTTTTTCTATTTTAAAAATATCATTTATTTCTGTGATACAAAGCTGGATTTTCAACAGCCATAACTCCAGTCTTCAGTGTCACATGATTTTTCAGAATGTCAGAAACAGTTTTTTTTAACCTGTGATACTTTTTTCAGGATTTATTGATGAATAAAAAGTTTAAAAGAACAGTATTTAATTAAAATAGAAAGTCTTTACTGTCACTTTTGATCGATTTAGCACACATCAAAAAATAGCCCATTATTTTTTTTTTTTTTTAAAGAAAATAAATATTACTGACCCCAAACTTTTGAACGGTTGTGTATATTGGTACAAAATATTTCTATTTTAAATACATTTTTCTTTTTTTAACTCAGAATCCTGAAAAAAGTATCAAAGGTTATAAGTATATTATAAATTGTGGAAATATTTAACAATATTACAGTTTTTTCTGTATTTTAGATAAAATAAATGCAGCCTTGATGAGCATAAAAGGCTTCTTTCAAAAACATTAGTGTCCAAACTTTTGGCCGGTACTATATATATATATATATATATATATATATATATATATATATATATATATATATATATATATATATATATATATATATATATATATGCCCCTTTTTACATTTGAGCCCCTGAGGAACTCTCTGCACGTCCCTGATAAACAGCGATTGATAATGTATTTCTGGTAGCGCTGTTGAGACTCGCTGCCTGTCTGTGAGATTTTATAGTGAGAAATCAAAACAAATGAGCATAACAGCACACATAAAAAAACTCACAGAAGATAAAACATACTACAGTTAAAACTCAATGTTTAGTTTTTTGTTTATTAAATATCATATAGCTATTTTGCTGAATCTTCTCACGATTACAAATGTTACATTGATTCATATTGATTCATACATTGAAGCATTATATCTGTAGACACCCTGTTTGAGTAATTCATGTAATTAACGTATTACTATTGGAGCATTTTCTCTCTCTGTGGGGGGGGGGGGGGGTGGCTGGGCTGTCTTAAGCCTTGTATTTTTTTAATAAGTTTTATTAATAAAGTAAAGGCATAGAACCAGTTTATTTGTAGTGCATTGACAATAGTTTTTATATAATTATTTTAATAAATTAATACAAAAAGACTAAAAGACCTTGAATTTATAATTAATTTGCTATATTTCAGATCATTATATTTGTTTTCCTTAATTTTAATTAACACAAACTTTATAATTCAGAGGAGAATAAAGTTAATTTCTGTATAAAATCATACTACCATTAAAAAACACATTTAATTTATCTTTTTTTAATCAATGTAGAATAGGGCTGCAACTAACGATTATTTTAATAATCGATTAATCTGTCGATTATTTTTTCGATTAATCGATGAATCGGATTTAAAAAAACAAAAGCATTAATTTCCAATCCTTTATTAAAAAACAGAACTGACAGTGCAAATTCACCGTGAAAAAAATCCAGTGCAAAAAAATGGACTAACAAAAAACATACACATGTATGCTTTACATCTGCCAAATAATATACAGTATATAGGCTTTTTAAAAATAAACTGAGCTGCTGTCAGAACAATAAATAATTGATAAAAAAATAAAGAAAAATACAAATCAGAAAACTTAACAGGATTTGTTTGAACGTCAGAACTTGTTCTCTACACCACACTAGCACTCACTCACAAACTCTCACACTCACAGATGCACACTCACAAACATGTGTTTTGTTTTTGTCAAAGATGTTATAATCTTTAACAAAATGTTTGACATTTTTAACAAGCAAATGCACCTATTATCATTATATACCTATAATAGCAATAATAATAATTATAAGCAGGGTTCCAGACTGCGACCAAATTGGTCGCATATGCGACCATTTTTTGAGAATGTGCGAGTAAAAATGTTATGTGGTCGCATTTGTGCGAGTGGACGCTTGAGCAACAGAACGCCGTTGTATCAGCTGCTGCAGTCCGTAACTTATGTTCAAAATGAACGAGTAGGCTACATCATGAATCCATTTTCCAAACCGTGTTTTTGACTTATTCTGAATCACTACGGTACGCCTATAATAAGTAGGGGTGCGCCAAAATATCGATATGGCGATATCTCACGATATTTACTCCCGCGATCGATTCTCGATGCGCTCTTGCCAAGTATCGATCTTAAAAGCCGTTATAAAACGCTCTATTCATTATCCGAGTTGACTGGATTTGACTAGCTTTCATGAGGCACACACGCAAAGTCTCTCGCTCTCTCCCTCTCTGCCGTGCTATGTATGTTATGCGCGCAGTAGGCTGTTCTGTCTCGCATGCGCGCTCTAGATTCCGGGAGATTTTAACTAATTTGCGGGCATCAGGGTGACGCTATTATTATGCGGGAGACTCCCGGAACTTCCGGGAGACTTGGGATGTCTGGCTTTGCAAAAGTCCGCAAAACGGGAAACACGACCACATGTACAGACACCTCACGCGGCATCACCCGGAGCTCTGTGAGAAAGCCGTGGTTGGTGCTGGCTCGAAGCCGACACACCCCGGCGTAAACATTTTTATTACTACTGATTGCAGCAATGTTACACTAAAATAGTGTCTGTGACTGTTTTGTTGCAACTGATAAGACACAAGTTGTTTTTGTTATTGTGTTTCATCCCAAAAAAAATAAATGGAGATTAATTTTCCTAATTAAAAAAAAAAATTGTATTTCTTAAAACATGATATATTGTGAGTTATTACTGATAATATGTCGATTATCGCAGTATCGCCATATCGTGATATTATCGGTATCGTGAACAATGTATCGCATATCGTATCGTATCGTGAAGTACCCAGCGATTCCCAGCCCTAATAATAAGTGTTTATATTCTGACTATTTTATCCCGGGGTCGTCTCGGCTGCGGAGTAGCCCAGTGCCTGCGTGACTCGCCATAGACATTAACGGAGAGAAGTTCCGTCTACAATGTTCTTCCGCAAGACACGTGCAGTTTATTTATTGACGAACGTAGACGTCACGCGCATTGCACACTGATGGTGAAACGCGCCAATTACGAATT